GTGTTCATCCAGCTCTACACCTTGTTATCTCTTATGAAGATGTGGAGCTGTGGTTCTGTGGATGATACTCTTATTCAGAGTTAGAAGGTGGCAGGTTCAAGTCCCACTCCAGCGACCTGAACAAATGATCACGGTTGACCCTCCAACAGAGCGGTTAGGACTCTACTCACTGGAATTTAGAGAAATGAGAGATTATCTCTTTGAGATGCTGAAGGGGCTTGACAGGATAAATGCTGAGAGCAGAACCAATTTAAGACTGGGATAAGGAGTAACTTCTTCTCTCAGAGAGTCGAGAGTCTTTGGAACTCCTTGCCACACAGAGCTGTGGGGGTAGAGTCCTTGTTTATATTTAAGGCTGAGACAAATAGATTTGCGAACAATCAGGGAATCATGAAGAATGTCAGCTTGGCAATGATTCTATTCAATGGTGGGTCAGGCTTGAAGGGCAGAATGGTCTACTCCTGTTCCTATTTCTAATGGTCTTATGGAGTAAAAAGGGAATGCTGCACTGTCAGAGGTGCTGTCTTTTAGATGCAACATTAAATAGAGGCCTTGCGCAGCCTCTCAGGTGCACGTCAAAAGTCCCATGACATTATCTTGAAGGGCAGTAGGCTATTCTGGCCATTCTCTCCACCAACATCACAAATCATCCACTCACCGCTGCTGTGTTTCCTACATTTCAACAAAGACTACCTGGTACTTCATTAGTTGTAAAGTGCTTTGGGATGTCTTGAAGTTGTGAAAGGTGCCTCAGTAGGGAAGTTTGAGATATTTAATAAAAACCGGAAGAACTGCGGACGCTGTAAATCAGAAATGAAAACAGAAGTTGCTGGAAAAGCTCAGCAGGTCTGGCAGCATCTGAGAAGAAAAAAATCAGTTAATGTTTCAGGTCCGGTGACCCTTCCTCAGGAACTTATTCTGTTCTGAGGAAGGGACACCGGACCCGAAACGTTAACTCTGACTTTTTTCTTCACAAATGTTGCCAGACCTGCTGAACTTTTCCAGCAGCTTCTGTTTTCGTTTGAGATATTTAAGGTGGATATTAATGAAAGCATGTATTTGGCAGTGGGTTATGTGACTCATCTCACACTGAGCATTTACTGGTTAAAACAATAAGAGACTGTTATAACGAGATATCCCATGGCACGAAACAAAGGTTGCCATTTCATAACAGGTCATGAGTGTATTCAGGTACCTCAATGACAAGGACATCCTTAGCATTGACAGTGCTCAGGTCCTACCTGCTTCACTGACATCTCTGAGCAGATTGGTTAAAAATATTTAGCTCTGGACATCTCAAAGTTACAATTCTGTGGAGGTGGGACAGAATATAGAGTTCAAATACAAGGCTGCATTTGTTGTCCCTTGAACCGAGCAGCTCCGTAGCTCATCTCAGGGGGCAGTTAAAAGCCTTTGCTGCAGGTCTGGAGTCACGTGTAGGTCAGACTAGATACGAATGACGGATTTCCTACCCTGAACAGCATTGCTGAAGCAGATAGGGTTTTACAACACTCAATGACATGGCCATCATCATTGAGATTGGCTCTCAATTCCAGGCTAGTTAATTGAATTTAAATTCCACTAGCCGCTGTGGTGGGATTTGAACTCAAGCCCCGGGGCACTATCCTGGGCCTTTGGATTACTGGATCTCCTTGTATGTGGTAGCCACTAACCCCGTTCCCTTCAACTCTTTTCCTGTTGCTGAACTCTCACTGACTTTTCATCCCTATGTTCTACAACTCGGAGCAGATCACTTACCAGCGAGAGCCTGGTCAATGTGGTGGGAAGGAGTGGACGGCTGAACCTCTTCTGGGAACCAATGGCTGCTGGGAAGGGAGGCGCAGAGAACATGGCCGACACCAGGTTTATGCGTGTGATCCAGGACTGCATCAGCTCTGCATTTCTGAAAAAGGGAAAGACATTCAGTTTCCAAGTTGGGCACACAAGCAAGAAACGCACAGCAAAACCTCAGGCCTTTTAGCCCATAACTCTGGCCTACCCCTAACCGTATCACATCTCATTGCATCCGATTCACTCCCTTATTACAGGGGCTTTCTTATGAGGACAGCTGGAGTAGGTTGGGGCCTGTACTCATTGGTGTTTAGGCGAATGAGAGGTAATCTTATTGAAACATGCAAAATCCTATGGGGCTTTTCAGGTTAGATGCGGAGAGGCTGTTTCTCCTTGTGGGGGAATCTTGGACCAGGGGGTAAGATCTCAGAATAAGGAGTTACCCATAGAGATGAGGAGGAATTTCTTCTCTCGGAGGTTAGTGAGTCTGTAGAATACTGCAGAAGACTGTACAGTGTGAGTTATTAAGTATATTTAAGGTTGAGATTGATTTTTAATCAGCGAGGGAACTAAGGGTTATGGGAAAAAGGATTACCTGATCAGCCACGATCTCATTGAATGGCGGAGCAGCTTCGATGGGCTGAATGGCCCACTTCTGCTCCAGGATTTCATCCAATAGATTAATCCTACTCACGCCCCAGGTACCTGACCCTTCTGCTCATTCCCCCATATCCAGTTTAATCACATTCTCCCACTCACATGCCCAGCCAAAGTCCAATCTGCTTTACCACCAACACTCCAAAATGCCAACCTTCCCACTCATTCCCCAAATCACGTATAATCTTAGTCGCTAGCTCGGGCATCCATGACATTGTCCCCGAAAGGTGGGAAGGAACACAGAAGAGAAGATTATTGAGGTCCACATGGCTGACTCCTAAACTGATTCTCTGCCTACGATTGGCTCTCTTGTTGTCATGGTGAGAGAGTACAGAGTACTGTCAGTGATTTACCGGATACTACAAATCTAGCCACTCACGGAGCTTGGAGAAGGAATATTCTCCAATCAGCTGTCTTCAGGTAGAAGACATTGGGCTTCTTGCTGTAGTCAGCTGCCCGGATAGCCAACGAATGATGGATGCTGATGGCATTCTTCAGATCATCTTCTGACAACTGCTTGTCGGACTTGTATTCATCCTGTTACAGGCAAAAAAGACAGGAAATTAATCAACATGCCCCTCACAACTCAGAACACCATCTCCTCCTCAACTCCGTCAATGACCCCACTCCAGTGGGACTGTCGTTTCTTTCCAGTCTGGGAGTTAGACATTCTCATATTCCGATCACTCAATCTGCCCTATCAACACCCCTTTCTCCCCCAGCCCTCCAGCCCCACCAGTGCATAAATGCTGCCCCCTCCACACTTCACATCAGCTCCGATGAAGAGTCATCTGGACTCAAAACGTTAGCTTGGAAAGGCCGGGCTTGTTTCTGCAGGAGTGAAAGATGGTTTTGGTCGCAGTGGTAGTGTGCCTATCTATCTCTGAGCCAGGAGGTCTTGGGTTCAAATCCCACCTGCTCTAGAGCTGTGTAGTAACATCTCTGGGCAGGTTGATTAGAAAATGTCTACAAAATCCTGAAAAATGTCAGGACAAAGGGGACATGGAAAAGGATGTTTCCTCTTCTGGGTCAGTCATGACTAGGGGACACTGTTTTAGAATTAGTGGTCATTCTTTCGGGACAGGATGAGGAGATTTTTTTTCTCTCAGAAGGTTGTGCAACTTTGGAACTGTCTCCATTAGAAAGTGGTAGAAAGGTTGGGGGGTGTCACTGAATACTTTTAAGGCAGAGTCAGAGTCATATGGCGCAGAAACAGACCCTTCGGTCCAACCATTTCATGCTAACCATGTTCCCAAACTAAACTATCCCACTTGCCTCCACTTGGCCCATATCCCTCCAAACCTTTCCTATTCATGAATCTATCTAAATGTCTTTTCAGTGTGGTAACTGTACCTGCATCCAGCACTTTCTTTGGAAGTTCATTCCACACATGAACTGCTCTCTGTAAAAAAACAGTTGCCCTTGTGTCCTTTTTAAATGTTTCTCCACTCACCTTCAAAATATGCCCCCTAGTTTTGAACTTCCCCCACCCTAGGGAAAACACCTTTGTCATTCACTTTATCTATGCCCCTCATGATTTTATAAAACCTCAATTAAGGTCACCCCTCAACCTCCTACACTCCAGTGAAAAAAAGTCCCAGTCTTTTCAGTCTATGTTTACAGCTCAAACTCTCCATTCCCAGAAGCATCCTGGTAAATATTTTCTGAACGCTCTCCAGTTTAGTAATACCCTTCCTATAGCAGGGTGACCTGAATTGCACACAGTACTCCAGAAGAGGCCTCAACAACGTCCTACACAACCTCAAAACGATGTCGCAACGCCTCTACTCCAAGATCTGGAAGGCAAGAGGTGGATAGATTTCTGTTAGGTATAGAATCAAAGGTTATCAGGGATGGATGAGAATGTGGAATTCAAAATACAATCAGATCAGCCATGATCTTATTGAATGGTGGAGCAGAATCCTGCTCCTAATTCATCTAATTATCCCTTTCCTTTAATGGGTCCAACTTTAATTGAAGCATCTTACTGAAGCTGATATTCCTGTTTATTCATGCCTCTTTGCTAATCCATTGGATGCCAACATAGCTCTGTTGGCCATGGACTGGTACACTGTGCACTGCCTATTTCCCATGATCTCACAGCCCTTTGGGAAGCCTAGCAGACTGGAGAAAACAAACACCTCCCTGTCCACTGAGACCTCAGCAACATCCCTCTATGCCCCATGGAGTCACGCAGGTCCATCGGGACACCCCACACACTCCACCTTCGATAATATTACTTCAACTTCCGGATGAAGTTTGGAAAGCTGAATGCTTTTGATTCCTTGTGCCAGAATCCCGGTTGCAGGAGATCCGTGGCTTTGATCTTTTGCAAAGTCTATTGGCAAATAAGGTGCATCCACAAAAACTGGGCCTGATCCAAATTCTCAAGAGTACAAAAGGTAAATTAAAAAACTCTTCAATGGGCAATTGTGCTCACCCTGAACCACTCACAGATCTCAAAACCCCATCCACAAATAGGAACATGATCTACTCTTGTTGAATCTCTCCAGTTTACCCACTCAAAAGCAAAACTGTAGTTGAAAGTCTACACCTAAATCTGTCATATGAAGCAAGGAAGAGCCACCAACCTGTTAAAAGGAGTTGGCTCCCTCTCTAAGACTTTGAATTAGGAATGGGACCTTCGAATTAGGAATGGGATGTATCTGTAAGAACATACCTTGGAGAACATGGTACAGTTCACTCGTGCTCCAACACACCCCGCTACTGAGTACCGAAACAAAGCCTTCGATACCCAACCTCAGCCATGTCCAAAGACTGGAAAAAAAATTGAACCACAGCAAAATGCAAGAGGGGGAATCACTCAGAACCCCTTGAGGATAACTGTACCTTGCTGCTGGTCTCGAGCCAGCAATAATATAACTTTAAAAATAAAAAATTCATTCTTGGGATGTGGACATTACCAATTGGGACAGCATGTATTATCCATCCCAGATTGCCCTCAACGTCAGCAGCTTATCAGGATATTTCAGAGGGCAATTAAGAGTCAACCACTTTGCTGTGGGTCAAGAGTCACATGTAGGCCAGGCCAGTTAAGGATGGCAATTTCCCTCCTTGAAGGGCACTGGGGAACCAAATGAATTGACAACGCTCGCCACATGCTTGCCACTAAACATGAAAATTGAATTTATAATGTTCCCATCAGCCTGGGCTTCTGGATTACTAATTCAACGACACTGCATTGCCACTGATTTCCATACGCATTTATACTGTGCCTGTGACGTGCCAATAAATCACAATGTGATTCACGGGTACACTGATATCAAGTTTAGTAAAGAGAGGTCAGGGTAAGTGACCAAAAGAAACTTAGTCAAAGGGATAGGTTTTAAGGAGTATCTTGAAGGGATACCAAGGCTAGAAATTTAAGTCAGAGATAGTAGGAACTGCAGATGCTGGAGAATCCGA